ATTAATTATTTAATTAAACATATACGACACCATTATCCTTTTTCACAAAGATATATCTCTTTTTATTAAAAATGAATTTCACATTCTACAGGAGGTTCATTAATCTTTTCATTACTACTTTCAATTTTCGCATGTCTTTGGTTTAATTTAGACATCTCACAATCTTTTAAATGAGAATTTACAAATGATTTGTCAGCAAGAATAGGATTTTCGTCACAATGTGGTACGTTTTCTCTTCTCACAGTTCTTTTGAAATGAAGTGATGGACAAAAACTAAAATATTAATTATCAATTATTTTGTTAAAATCTATTAAAAATAAACAAACTTTTTAAAGGTAATGCAAGGAAGAGCAAATGGTCGAGCAACCTCAGTCATGAAATTAATGATCTGATTTTTTTGAACTTAATTAAAAAAATTAAAAAGTTAATATAAATAGAACCCCAGTATTTTTTACTTTTTGAAATTTTCTTTTCTCATCCATAATTCTAGTTTGTTTTTATTAATTTTAGTTTGTTTAGTTATTCAGTACTATTTAAAAGAGCCATTTTGCTGCCACTTTTCTTCTATCATTCTCTATTTTTAGTGTCGATCATCAAAAGTTTTTTTCGATGAATTTCCAAAAAAAATTTGTTTTTCTCATTTCTTTTTTATCACGTGGCAACCACAAATCACTTTTTCTTTTATATCATCGAATTTTAGTTTAAACAAACTTTAATAGGGATAAAAGAAGTATGACTTCCCTTATCAATTCTTTCCTTTGTATCTTTTTCTTTATATTCTTATGTCATCTAGCTGGGATTTATCTTTATGGAAGTGGATTTTTAATTGCTTCAGTTCAATCACAAAAGAAAAGTCAATGCAATGACCCTTTAATGACAAACACACTTTATGCTCATTTACATCCTCCTGAATTATGTTGGACTACTCCTTTATTTAAGAAAACAGCTTTATATCTTGTTGATGCTCTTAGATTTGATTTTGCATTTTCTACGGAATACCCTCCTTTGTTTGACAATGTTACTGACCCTAACAATTTCAAATTGTACCATAACAATATGAATGTTTTCAATTCTTTAGAAAATCAATACCCTTCTCGTTCTTCAAAATATCATTTCATTCCTGACCCACCAACCACAACTGCACAACGTGTTAAAGCAATGACAACAGGTGGTGTTCCAGCCTTTATTGAAATATCAAATATGTTCAATAACCCTGTTATTTTGGAAGATTCATTAATACACCAATTTAAAGAAAATGGATTAAGAACAGTTTTTGAAGGAGATTCATTATGGGTTGATTTATATCCTAATCAATTCAATAATGTTTCAACTGGTCCATCTCTTGACATAGCAGACTTAGATAGTGTTGATAATATATGTGATAAAGCATTACAACAACATCAAAATGCAAGTGATTATGATATAATGATATCTCATTTTCTTGGAATTGATCATACTGGACATTATTATGTTACCAACCATCCATCAATGAAAAAAAAATTAATAGAAATTAATAACATTCTTAATAGATCATTATATTCACTACCTGAAGATACATTAGCATTAGTTTTTGGTGATCATGGATTAACAGAAGAAGGGAACCATGGAGGATCAACACTAGAAGAAATAGATGCAGGGTTATTTGTTTATGATAATAGGAAAAATCGAAAAGGAGGAAGAAAAGAAGTTGAGAAAATAACACAAGTTGATATTGTTCCAACGATTGCAATTGGGATGGGTATTCCTATACCATATAGTAACATGGAACACC